AAAAAAATTAACTAGTTTCTGGCTTACATTTACAAACCAGGTTGTACTGTACAATATGCATATTGCATAGAAAGCTACGAAGAAAAATGTGCAATATATTGTGTAGCCCTTACATATCACTCTCTGAACAATCCCAGTTTGGAATAACAAAAATTGGTCTTTTTTTAGCCCCTGAGAGTTAAGTGAAAAGGTAGTCAGACTGAAGTCCATCCCATAAGAAGTTTGCGCTTTTATAAAACAACTTAACGTTTGATTCTGTGTTGTTCTTCATTACAATGTATTTTACCTCTCTGATATTGCTGCAGATCCCATTACATTTTAACTTGCCTTCCACAAAGTTTTGCAAAGAAATAATTTTACAAACTTTCCAAGAAAAAAATCTCAGGTATCTATTTGTTGCATTAGAGGGCTAGAGTTTTATTCAGTTTAATTTTATGCTTCTGGGGGTGGAAAAGTGTTTGACCTGGACATTCATCATCCAAATACATGTTGTGCTTGCATTTAGCCTTAGATTAATGAATTGGCACTGTTTGGAGGTGATTTTCCTTCTTAAGAGCTGACCTTCAAATATATACTTACTGGTTTCACAAGACACACACTTCACACTTTTACACAACAGCATGCAATTATTAGAAAGCCTTCTTGTATGAATAAATAGATAAAGGCCACTTAAAATAACTAATGTAGCTTGTTGGCGAAAATTCAAGTTGTGAGACTCTCTTCCACCTACCGGCATCATCATTTACCACGCTTCCACTTCAGCCAACCAGAACCAGATGTTCTCTTTTCTCCAGCCAATCACCATGCAAGAGCTCCTTCAAAAGACCAAAGGCCAAACAACCACGGCTCCACCTGCTTCAGCCATGCTTCGACCCACCTCCTCCCTATCTCCACCCTCATCCTCCCTTTCATCTTCCAGACTCCGTCCAGACTCCTTCCTCTCCAGGCTCCGCTCCACCACCAGTTTCCAGGTCCGAGGGAAGACTACCCTGTGGTTTGCCTGGAACCGATCATCCAAGCACACGGCGATTCTCACCACTCACGTCTTTTGCCGGTGTCTGAGCGTCAAAGAACTTTGGGTCAATAAAACTTTTCAACTGCTGCTTTTTCTGTGTGTGAGTCTCTACAGATTGAAATGTACATACATTGGGATTTAAATATACTTTTTTTATATATATTACTCATTTATGCACTAAATGCTCAGTAAATGTTGCCCATATATTATTACCACAAGCAATAAACTATAGCTGCAGGACTTAGTGATTATGCACAATTAAAATTTGTTGAGTTAAATTAAGCTCTTAAAAGCAATGAAGACCAGGTTGATAAAGTCAAATTTTACATTAGTAAACAACAATTATGAAAGCAATAGAAGTTGTTTAATTACAAAAATTGCTCCAGCTGCCAGTACACTCAGCTTTAAGAAAGTGAAAGTGTTTTAGCCTCCAGGATTGCAGAGAAATGCATGCTGGTACATCTGAAAAAGATTTAATATTGCATAAAAGTACTTCTCAGGCCCAGAAAATGAGACTCATGTATTATAGTGTATATATATATATATATATATATATATATATATATATATATATATATATATATATATATATATATATATATATATATATATATATATATATATATATATATATATATATATATATAAGAGAGAGAGTGATATATCCAAACATCTTCTTTTGTAACTTTTATCATTCTCACTTATAGATATTGAAAACCCAAAACTTAAGGCCTCAGAAAATTATTTTATGTTTTGAATTTCATACTTTGAAATAAATAATTCATGATAACCCTATTATCAAGAAGACTGCTGATGGTGAATGTTGAGAAGACATTCACCATCAACCTTCACAAAAAGGTCAACCCTCAAAAGGTAATAGCTAAATAAGCTGGTTGTTGTTACATATTAGCAGAAAATTGAGTGGAAGGGAGACGTGTGGTAGCAGAAGGCTCAACAGGAAGAACCACAAACTTGAGGGAATTGTCTTCTTATGCTGTATGTCATACCGGCCAAATGAGGAACTAAAAAATAAAAGCAACCGGAAATGCATTGTGGCCCTCTGGTTTCACCAGCTAATATACCCAAATTTAAAAAAAAAAGAATGAAAGAAAGAAAAAATTTACTATTGTTCTAAGCACAGAAGTAAAAGCTACAGGTTATCATAAAGTACCAAAGACTACATATACATGATTTGAATATAAATGTATTAAAATTCTTGATTTTTTTGAGCCACAAACAGATAAAAGAGCTCACTTTGCCCCAGGGATCCCCCAGTGCTACAAACCACAATAGTCTGTAGCTTTTGTGATCTATTTAACCACAAAATCTTAAAGTCTTTTGTAGTGAAATATAATTAAGGTGAAGCCACAATATTTCCTGTCTTGCCATGTATGCTGGCATATGGACAAAATCCATCTTATGTTGATCAAAATGTGAGGAAAGGCAGAGGATTTATGGTGCTTTAATGTGAATGTTACTTCTAATTCCCTCCCATTCTAAATAGTGTGGAATTTATATAATGCAGCATACCCTGAGGTATGTTACGCTAAACAGCCACAAACCCTGATAAAGAACCAACTGCTAGAATGAAATTTAAAATGCCCTATAAAAGCTCTAAAGTGATCAGAAACTTGATCAAGTGGTCAGATCCACATTCAATTTCAAGCACACATCATGCTAAGGTGAGTGAATATTCATCAGTGCAGATGGCATATCACAGTGGGAGATCAAGTGATATCATTGTTTAATTGCTGCAATATTTTAGTCGCAGTTTGGTCAGTTCCACAATAAAAGTGTTAATACCGTGTGAGAGTTTTGGCCTATTAAAAAAAAAAAAATCTTTGGTAACCTGGCCTATCTGATTTGATCATATTGTCTAGTTAAAGCCAATATCAGGGTGTTTATTTCCCTTCCTTTATTCCTTGACACAAATAACAATTTCTTTGTATGTTTGCAATCATGGGATGCTTTTTTCCTTACAGTTACTGACTTGAGTAATTTGTAAATTCAACATACAAATTAAACACAAGTAGTCTTTAAGAACCTTTTTTAATGAATATATTGCTCCTCAGTTTTCCACCGAAACCCATTTATTACAAAAGACAAACACTGGAATACCAAGCACTGACATTAAGCACCCATTAATTTTACTGAGCCTCAGGAGCAAAATAAATAAGAAAATGAGGAGTTTAATGGCGCATTAGTGAGGAGGCAGTGAAACACAAACTGAGCTGTTTTCTGAATAGAGAATCCTTTAAAAAACTGAGGAACATAAAAAGAGGAAAATCTTTCGACTATGAGTTATTTCACTGAGCAGCAAGGTATGAACCAGGTTTGCCATGACTGACCAAAAAATATAACAGAAGAAAAAAGCTTTTGCTATTATATCATCTGGAAATTATTTCTTAATAATTATTTAGGTTGTTTAAAGCTATTAGTATTCTACTGTGTCTAAATTTTGAAAATCCATGCTATTTAATATGACTAAATGGAACAAAGACAATATTAAAAATAAAAGCTTTAGAGGCAGACAGAGTACTAATTTAAGATAGTGCAATGTTAAAATTTGTTTACCACAGTTGCCGAGTTGAATATAACAATATTTAAGTTTTAAATATGATCAGTACCAAAAACCTCTACATTAACCAGTTATTGTTCCTTTATATTATTACTATTTAAGTTTGTGTTGAAGCTCAGGCTTGCTCTTTGTATTACAAAGGTGCAGACTAACTCAGGAGAGATAAAAAAAAATGATAGTCCTTTTGGGAAAAGCGATTAATATTTTTGGAAACTTGTTTGCAAACTTCTGTCAATATTTCTGTGTACTAATGGTTCAGGGAACTGTGTAAAGGTAAGTCTTTTGGAATCCTGAAACAAAGGCATGAGGATGCTCCGATGCCTTATTCTGAGTTTTTATTTCATTTTTTATACATAAAATGTTTTGGTAAAACATTTTAAGATCAGTATATTCACCTCAATTTAATATACCTTGTTAATCTTAAAGGAAATATATTTTTAAAAATAATATTGGAGTTTCCTTTTCAAAATGTGTATAATAATAAAAAAAAAAACATATTTTTGTGTGTTATATCATCATGGTTAGTTATTTCGGTCTTGTAGGTAGATTTGAGAGATGCTTAGGTCACAAAATCAAGAATTCACACTTTGCTTGACTAGTAATACAAAGACTCAAAACTTCACTTGTGGAAAGTGGAGCTCAGCTCTCATGTAAATACGGGTGGAATAAAAATAGTAAATGTTGCCCTTTTTAAAAAGGTTTTATTAACTGGTGTTCATTGAAACATTCTTCAAAGTATTTTGAGGTTTTCGGCAATGTTCCATGACAGAAAAAGGACAGATTTGATTCATTGACCAAGGACGTTTTTGGGTGATGGGCAATTAAAAACTTACAATTTTTTTCATGTTTGCTACACCAGGGTTGCAATCAGCAAAATAATGTGTCTCAAACTGCACTGACTACAAATGAGTTATATTAAACTTATGTTGTCTCTCACATTTCATTACTGGCTGCTAAACTAACACATATAGTTATGTGCGTAGAGTGCACATAGAGAGTGAAAATATAACCTTGCCAATTTGATTTATCAAATAATACAGTGGGTAAATCTTAATAATTTTCAAAATATTTTACAGCCACTCACAGCAGCTTCTATTACTGACCTTAATGTTTTGAATAAAAAAGATGTCAAATGTTTCAGAGGTACAGAATGAAAATATGAACACACAACTTGCAGCAAAATTAGTGACGTCAGAAGACATTGCAGACTTGACTTAGATTTGCTTATCAAATACATGAGACTGAAATTGGAAAAATATATATAAGGTGAATATAATTGTACCATATACTATATAAGTAAAATATATATTTTTTTTTAATGCACTGATAAAAGACAATATAATGTAACTTTGCTTATTCCAATTTAAAACAACTTTGCTGTGGTGTTTGAAAACAAGGATCACACAATACAGAAAAACAACAATAGTTTATTTTACCCATATTTTGTTTTTGAACTACAAACTCTGGTCTCTATAATCAACCTCCATATCTTTTAAAGGTCATGAAAGAATGCTAACATGAAAATCAATCTCTTATTCTGTTACAGCATATTTCTCTATTTTCACTTTTTGAACAGATTGTTGGCACATGAAAAATCAAAATAATAATAAAAAAGCTTGTTTTTTCTTTTAAATATTTTATTCTTAAAATGAATTTTTTTTAAGAAATCTACCACTAAAACAGCATTCCCTCTCAGAATCAAAAAAAGGATAGTTTTTAAAAAAACAATACTGACCAAAAATATTCAGATATCTTACATACATGAGACAGCTCGACAAATGCAACTGATTTACCATTGAAATTTTCTGACAATTTCCTCCAAATGAAACAAAAAAAGATAAAAGTCTGCAACAGAGAATTTTAGTCCTAAATTCCACCTCTAAGCGCTTAGATAAAACAATGACTGATACCCTTGCCACCCTATGGTATACAAATGTGCCACACTCTACAAAAGTAAGGTTGAGAAGTCCAGCTGGTAAAAAGGAGTAGAACTTAAAGTTAACCAATTTTAAAAATTCACTTTATTATAATATTACCAAAGCAGAAATTACCACAAAGTAAATTAATTATACAGTTTCTAAGAACAAATCAAACACTTTCTTGAAAGTCTAAAACAGTTTGAACCACAGTGTGGGTCTTTTGTGGAAAAACCTCTAGTATGTTGAAGCCCCTTCATAAATAAAGATAATTAATTGGTGTGGGGGATTGGCTTTGGGCTGTGGGAGGGCAGCAACCAAAGAAGGTTCATTTAAAGATTTTTGATAGATTGAAGTCTTTTACTGTAATGATGCCACGCATGTAATTTACTTATTTTATATAAATATGTATTCAATCTTATATCATTAATACAGCTGATAGTTTTAATTGTGTGTAAATTACAGTGTAGAGAAAAAAGCATTCACTCCATTGGATGTGTCATGTTTTTAATTTTTTTACAAATCATTCAAGATTTTTAGAAAACTGGCTTTTGGGGGGGGGGAAATTTAAAACAAGCCCACTTAATGTCAAAGTGAAAACAGATTCTACAAAATGACAATTCATTAAAAATATGTAACATAAAATTAGTGATTGCTTAAATATCTATCCCATCTATTGTGACTGACATAATTCAGCCAACTGGTGCTTGTAGTCTCAAACTCACAAACTGAGTGATGATGCAAGAAGGAGAACATTGTGTGAAGACACCAAGACACCTGGGACTACGCAGAAGGAGTTAGTCTTTATCAGCTGAGAGGGGGAAGACTCTGCATGTAACAACTGTTGCCCAGGTTCAAGCTTTCCTTTTTTTTTGAAGAAAGCTTGACTAGAGTTTGCCAGAAATCTTGTAAGAAACTCCATGGTCAAGTTAAAGAACATTATATTGTCTGATGAGACAACACTGGAGCTCTTTGGTCTTCAGACAATATGTTGCTTGAACACTGCACATCACCACAAATGCATCATTACCATTTTAAGTCATGGCGTCATGCATCGCAGGTGCTTCTGTGTAGCAGGTCCTGGGAGGCTTGGAGAGGTAGAAGGTAAAATGAACTTAGCAAAATATAATATCACCGTAATCCTAGAGGACAATTTGTTTCCATCTGCGAGAGAATTACGACTTTGCAGAAGATTTATTTTTCAGCAAGTCAATGAATGACCGAAGCGTACAGCAAAGATACATACAAATGTTTTGAGGAAAACAATGATGATGTTCTGGAGTAGCTGGTTCAACGCCCAGACTTTAATCAAATACTGACTTGAAGGGATTGAATATTTATGCAATCATTTATTTTATGCAATTTTTTAAAAAAATTATTCATAGTCATTTTATAGATATCAATTTTCACATTTACATTGGAGTTGTTTTGCTCAGTATTTTTGTCATAAAAATACATGTTTTGTTTATTCAGACCATAAAAGCATTAAAAAACAAAAAAATAAATGTACTGTGAATGCATACATGTTATGCTTCTTCTAAATGGTAAAACGGTGTAACAATGCCTTTCACCAAAAATATTCTACTGCTGAAAAGAAACCCTGTTTACTTGCTAAAAGTAAATCCTGGACCATCTGTCTAACCACAGCATTTACGGAGCTTGGCACAATTTTCACAGTAGGGACTTTAAAATGGCTTGCTGGATATGAGTGCCTGCAGAACTGTGTCCATACAAAGCCCATGGGCACATCAATTAAAATGTAAATTGTGTGGTCGCTAAGGGAAAAGGAAAAAGGCAGGTGCAACTCAAACATCTGGTTGATGCCTGATCCCACACATTCTGCATGACCGTAAAGCCTCTTGTAGCATAAGCCTTGCCACTCAGGGCCAAGTCCTTTGGTTGGCAGGGGCAGGGTGTGAAGCCGGGGCTGCCAAGCATCTCAATGTGGAAATGTGGCACATAGATGACAAGCAATGTGGTCAGACAGCTGTATAAAGGGTTTAAGCTCTTTCTTCAGCTCGTCACTCTGGTTCTGACAGCACTCCTGGCAGTACTGCAGAAGCGGTAACAGGTCCCAGCAAGAATAAAGAACCTCTTTAAAACAGCCACCTTAATATGCTCTGGAACACAAAATTAGAAGGTAAGTGTAAGGTCAGAATACATTGGAAACATTTCAAGCAATGAGAATTTTGCCAGGATGGGACAGTGATACTATTCCCATCCTGTTCAATTACAATAATGCTTCTAAAGTATTTATTAATTATGCTATAACTTTGAGAACAGCAATAATTCTTAATGCCATCAATGGTATATTTAAATAACAAAAAAAGGATCCCTCTATGAAGGAATGGACTTCTGTCAAGACAACTTTGAGATCAGGAATATAATTGTATTTTGCATACACATTATGGATAGAATGACCTTTTGATCAATGAAATTTAATTTAAGAGAACATAAAATCATTAGTATTGAATTTCATTTTTAAACAACTTTCATACAGTAAGTAGGATCTATTTCCCTTTTTCAAGAACTTTCTGTGACTTCATGGCAGAACAGAGTGTGCCTAAAGCATGTGACAGTTCCAATTAAAACTTTGAATTGTGGTCAAAATTTATAACTGACACTTTCGCTCTGCCAAGTGTTTTATGCAGCCATGTTTTAGATGACCACAAGATATTCAACAATTTCTTTCACTGTTGGAGAAAACCCTGAATGTGCTCCAGATTTTCTTCACAGGTGTAAAGTATGACATTATCCACTTAGATTCAAACTTTAATTATACTAAAATACCAGCTGAAAAGTAATGATAGTTTTTTTTCCAACAGATGCCTTCTAAAAGAGTTTAAGCATATTTGTAAACCATTCTTTTTCACATGAGAGGAGGAAAAGTAACATGTATTAATAGATGAAAAAAGGAGAATATTTTTTTCTCTTGATTCAACCACAATATTTTTTTTTTCTTAAATAAATAACTTCTGTTTTGTAAAGACACTTTTTGAAACAGTAGACATATTCTAAATCCCAATGTCATTGAATGAAAATCACTCCAGTGATTTGCTAAACATAAGTGTGTTGCTCCAGATTTGAGCAACAGTCCTCAAAACCAGTTGTCAATACTGTCCTGTCAGTAATGCCACTGCGTAATGCCAACAGTTTTAGGAGTTTTTCAAAAGTATTAGATTTGGGTCTCTTGTACATTGTCTTTTGAGGTGGCCCGGATTAACAAAGGTTCGTGAGCTGAGCTGTGTATGGAATTCATAGCTGAGGCATGGTTGTAGGCAGTCTTGTAGGTATTGTAGTGGTTGAGGTGCTCATGCTCCAGAGACGGCAGAGTAAGATGGCCCTCCATGCCTGGGCCTCCTGTTACGCAGTCCTCGTCTACATTGATGATCTCAATAGTGCGTGTGGGTGCATGGTGATTCTGCTGATGATGCTGCTTCCGCATCTTGTAGAAGATAATCAGCATTACTGCTGCCATAAGAGTGATTGCAACAAAGCAGCCAATGATGATTTTAGTCGTCTTCATGACCTCATCCAAACCGTTGAGCGAGCTCTCTGTTACAGGTGTTGTGTAGGGCTTTTCTGTTGCACGTGTGGACAGTGGGGTTCGAACTGTTGTCGTTGTCGTAGAGGTGGGTGAAGGACTTTCCCATATACTGGCAGAGGATGTAGGGCCCACTTTCTGTTGAACAGTGGTGGTGAAGCCTTCGTTATGAGGTGTTTCTATTGTCTCTACTGTCACTGTGGTGAAGTAGCTGAAGCTGCTGTTCTCTGGAGAGGACACATTCAGTGTGGCTGAGGCTGTTGTGTTACCTGCAGAATTACTAACCATACACGTGTATGTCCCTGTGTCCTGCATGGTAACATTTGTGAAATTCAGTGTGCCATCATTTAGCACAGAAATTCTGACTTTGTATGCACCATGTGTCATTATTGAACCATTGGGTGTAATCCAGCTAACTGAGGTCAGCGAGCTGGCTCTACATTTCAGCTCAGCAGCACTTCCCTCTGTTACATTTAAGTCTGCAGGAGGCTCCACAATAACGGGAGCATAACAATGAAAGTAATTCTGGTCAAGCTCACCAATATAGCGGCCCTTATATTGGGTAGGTGAGCTGCAGCGGGCACAGCAGCTGGTGTTTGCAGGAACCATCTCCTTAAGCCACCAGCTTAGCCACAGGATGTCACAGTTGCAATTCCAGGGGTTGTGGTGCAAGTGCACCCTCTCCAAATGATGTAAAGGAGTAAAGAGATCATGGGGCAAAAGCGTTAGGTTATTATGGGCAAGGTTAAGCTCCACAAGTGACTGAAGATCATCAAATGAGTTCCTTTCGATAGTCTGGATTTGAGCATGCATCATCCATAGCTTTTGCAGGTGGATAAGCCCTTTAAACGAACCAGGCCGGATAACAGACAACTGGTTTCCAGACATTTCAAGTTCATCCAGTTTGACCAATGGAGTGAGATTGGGAATTTCCTTCAAATTGCACATTCCCAAATTTAGATAGCGCAAATTGCTCAATCCTTCAAAGGCTCCTTCTGAAATGTATGAGAGCCTTTTGAGCTCCCCTAGGTCTAACCTTCGTAATGAGGGAACTCTGTTGAAAGCATAAGAAGGAATGCTTTCTATTGGATTATTTCTTAGCCAAAGCTCCTTCAGCTTAGACAAATACTCAAATGCTCCGTTTGGGATGGTGGTGAGTCTATTATCAAAAAGCTCCAAGGTATTGAGGCTTGCAAGTCCATTGAAAGCCCCCAGCTCAATTTTACGTATGTGGTTTTTGCTCAGCTGCAGAATCTCCAAGTGTCTTAGATGTTTGAAGCTGTCCACCTTTATCACCTGTATGAGATTTTCTTGCAGATTCAAATAGCGTGTGTTGGTAGAGATGCCATCAGGAACTTCTCGCAAGCTTCTGCGTGTGCAAATAACCTTGCTAAACTGGTTACTGCAGGAGCAAACAGAAGGACACGTTTGAGCACGCACCAGTCCTGCCACTACCAGCAGCTGGAGGGCTAGAAGCAGCACAAATAAAGGGTCGGAAAAGGCCCGGTTCCACCTAGGACCTCGCATCATCTGCTGCTGCTGGGAAGAGGTCATCTTGTTGAACATTCATAATTCATTGACTGTTCTTCCACTCTTTTTCATGAGGATGTGGGCCAACTGGAATGAAATGACAGAAAAGAGACAATTAGTTAGAATAAATAACTTTCTTAGTATGACGAATCAGTTTTATTTGTATGTCTTAAATTCATTATTACAAAAATGCATACAAAACAATTCATTTTTTAAATGCTTTGTTGGTTCTAGTAGCCTTCATTTGAAAGCAGTTCAACAGGAAAGAGGGTAATGAGAGAGGGAGAAGACATGCGGCAAATATCACCAGGCTGGGAATCAAACCTGCGACCACCACCACGAGGAGTTTTGTTAATATCATAGTTCTAATACACGTAAACTAAAAAGTAAAGCAATGCAAGCAATGCATTTTTGACACACTAGGCCTAAATGATGGCGGCAGCAGCTGTATTGACACCTGTTAATATCACCACTGGTATGCCAGGCTTCAGAGTTGCGATTAAAAATCAAATTTCTTTTCAGTACAACTATAGATATGTGATGGTATGGTCATGAGAGCATAAAGCATATTTCCATTACTCAATGGAATGCTTGGGCTGATGGTACGGTAAAAGACTTTTAAGGAACTGTGCCACTGGATTGCTCTACTTTGTGACTGTGTTCAGTAATGTGTTGCTGATTCTATAACAGAAAGCTCTTCACTTCAGGACGACCAGGCTATTACTGTAACTGCTGATTAATTGATAGATTACTGACTCCATTAATTCTTCAATTACAAAATTCCAAGTCCCCAAGTTCTAGGATGGAGAAAGACAGTGTTTCCATTCAAGAAGGCAGACAGATGTGACAGGGATCACACACCATGCTGAAAGTCACTTTAAATCATAGCTCCTTTTTTATACATGTACACATTTGTGGCATGCCATATGGAGAAGTTAGTTACCTATGTGTGCCAGAGGACATTTGTTCTGCAATATGAATACCTCAAGATGGAATCCAAATTGCATGATTGAAATAATTGAATTAAGACTAGATTTAGTATCAAATCTGGCAGGCCACATTAATGCAATAGTGACCTTCAAGCTTTTGGATCATTTGTGTGTCAATGGATGAGTGTGATGGTTGGAGGTGGCTAGAAGGGTATATTTGTAGAAATAATAGTCCTTGTGTTGAGTGGGTGTATGTGGGAAAGTTTGTCACCTGAAGGTTCCCAGCTGTTAAAAGATGGGCACCAAGGTTGAAGCCTTGCAAGACGTCAAGCATTTTCAGTCTCTATGAAGCTGTCTTTCAGCTTCATAGAGACTAAAAGACAGGCCGACTCAGCTCTGGAAGATCCCAGACACAAGTCACTACGCCTGTCCTCAGCTGTTCCCTCTTCCTCCCATCCCATCATGTTGCTGAGAACTCCAGTCTCCAGACCCAACTTGGGTTAAAGAGGATGATGTGAGCACCATGGCATAGGCACCATTCTCACTTGGGGCCAGCTCCCCAACTGGCCTCACCTTCTGCCACCCACAGTCAACATAGTGCCATATTGACTGATCCCTAAGTCAACCACCTTGCCTAGGTGGGAGTAGTTTGGGAGAATCTGGATCAGCCAAGCAAAATGAGCCCGGCATCAGCAGCTTAGAACCCAAAGACCCGTCAGTTCAGTCAGGACTACAGCTTCACCCCATGTGAGAACACCCACCCTCCAAACCCCCATTGTCCATTTGTGCATAATCTTAATCCCACAACCTCCCAAACCACATTTTTTGGTAAGAAGTAAAACCTTGCATTTGATGAAAGAATAGGGTTCATTTTAGGTTGCTTGTATTCCACCTGCCATAGTATTGGCATATATGCCCTGTAGTCTCAAATATATTCACAAATACAAATTTAAAAACTTTTCATTGATGAAAATTGCTAAAGTTGCTAAAATAATTAAAAAGCAAAGCAATGTTTCTCTTTTGCCGTTTCTTGATCCATTACTCCAAAAGATCAACCATCGAAAATAGATGTAAACAATGAATCAGCAGAAGGGCCGCAGAAAACAGGAAGCCGATTTACAAAGCAAAACAAGATGTCAGCATAACAGCAATGAAAGCACAGAACTGGATTTGCATAGTGCAGAGATGGATTTAGACATAAATTGATAACAAGATGAGATTAGAAAGACAATGCATCTTTCAACTTTTGAAAAAGATTAAAAATCACTCTCTAGTCTTTGTTTGCCAGAAAGAGCTGAAGACTGACAATCGAGGAGCAAAATTTGAAACATTTTTAAATACTGAAAATATTGAAAATTTCATGTTACAATGCAGATATCATCATTTCCAAATAGTTGTAAAGTAAAATACACCTTGATGCAGCTTACTCTGAGGACATACTGGTTAGCGTCTAAAATATGCAGCAGAGAAGTTAGACAAGATAACAGCATGTGACACCTTTGTCTTTGCACAAAACGACCACAGCAACAGACACTTACAAATGTGCCAATTATAAATACAATTCACCACATTACCCTAAGGCGTAATGTGGTGAGGGGGGAGTTGCATCAGCAAACCAGCTTGTTTTCATTTTATATCATCAGATACGCCATCAGAGCCCGTTCGGTTTATAAGTAGGAGAGTGACCGAGACTGGAGACATTTAAATGGCACAAAACTATAGTTTGGTTATATACAATACATATCTGGCTATCATCACTCACTTCTAGTAGACATTAAAAACATCATTGTATTAGATAGTGTTTTTACATTCACAAAAGTTATTGGGAAACATCTGAAAAATAACCAAATAGAGATAACATTTTACAAGGTTATTGCAATTGCTCTCACAGTCACCCAAAATCCAGATATTCAAATAGTTCCGATATTAAACTGTCTCCTGTTTAATATCTGAACCACTTTATACAAAACCTAAGTTTCTTTGATTAAAATTTTACAATACATTCAGTTAATTTTATTACATGTTTAAAAATTTGTAGTTTTTTTCCAATCAACTAAAGAGGCTTGTTTCATGTAATAATGAGACAACTCTTTGTTAAAGTCCTTTTTGGACAAATTTGTGTTTCCTAGCAATAATATTGTTTGACTGGAAATATTTTAAGCTGCAACTGCTGAAAGTTGTGCAAAGCAACACAGTTTGTGAGCAGTGGTCATGCCCATGGCGGGTGATCTGTTTACGGCAGATCATTACTTTTGGCACAACACCAACAAAACCTTGAAAAAAAATTTGTGACTGGTTATAATGATTTTAAAACTGAAACCTTGAAAAAGCATTATATAACTATAAAACTCCATACATGCCACAATAAATGCACTCAAGTCTCCAAACTTCTCCCCAAATCTTGGCTGACAGTCATAAAAGACATGATGACAATCAAGTTTAATGCTGACTATATTATTGCAAAACAAGAACCTACCTTCACGTTTCTTGATAATTCTTTGTAAGAAATATGGTTTTATCATAATGAAATATGATATTGAAAAGATCCTTAGGTGTGGGAAGCTCCTAACTGTGGAAAATAGTGTGTGCAGGTTTTCACCAGGAAGTTATTGTCATGTTCTTGCTGAAATAACTGACTCACATGCACAAATGGTCCCAGGAGGTAAGACTTAAAAGGTTTATTGTACAGTGAAATAAATGCGTAGATGGTCTTTGCTCCACGGGGATTTTCTGTCAGCTCATGAGGACTAAGATTGGAGGAATGTTGACAGTGAGGTTGAGATGGATCCCAGTAGCTTACTGGATAAATGGTGGAGGTTTTGTCTGGGGAAAGCGAGCGGACTCCAGGATGATTATCTGTGTGGTGATTATAGATGGAGGGTGCTGGTGATCTGAGCATAGAGTTGGAGATGGAAAGATAGAAGGGAGGACAGGCAACTCGTTGGTCGTTGAAATAAGGAGCATGATGGTTGTCAGTCATGAATAATGTAGAGTAATTCTGAAGCAGAGGAAGTTGGTTTATATTCAAAAGCTCTAGGGACATGCAGCTTGGAATCAGTTCCTTTAACGGACATAAAACACAGAGATTAATCTTGATGCATGCTGCTAGACAGCTCTCTAAAAGAGACAGACTTAGTTTACCACTCAAGGAGTGAGAGACTGACAATCCACTCCTCATAAACGCCGCGAGATTGGCTTGATTGCTTGCAGGTGCGTGGGAGCACACCTGCACATCTACACCTCTGGTCCTACACACCCTTTGGTGGGAACCTGAGATTCAGAAAGAAACTGACACAAAACACAAACACCCCAGATTCCTAACAGTTACAGTCACAAATCTTTATTCTTTCATTGATTGTTTTGGAACTTTATGGAAAATCTGCTTTATGTATTCATATTAATGGCCACACCAAGCTGCACAGATGCTTCTAGCTTAACATTTTTAATAGGTTCTTGTGTTTCAGCAAATCAAACAGAAAAAAATAATAATGTTGTTGAAGAGCTGGAAAAATTTGAGTGGCATTAAAGTTAAACAAATTAACTACAGGAGTTACTGCATAAAGTATCTTTTTTTTTCATGTTCAATAGGGATGTGAAAGTTGACTCTCCAGCAAAGAGTGAGCAACAAAGTCTTTGTCTCTGACACTACACAGCAAAGAAGGAAAAAAGACGAGGAGATATTGTGAAGAATGAGACAGTTGAGAGAGAGGAAGGTCGGCATATACAGCAGAATAAGAGAGACAGAAGGAGAGAGAGGGAGATTAATGAGATATAAATCAAATCAGGTCACGTCTTGATAATGCCAGCAATCTTGCAACAGCTCCAAATATAAATCTGAATCCTTTCAGGACTGCAATGTGGGAGGGATACCCACCACATGCTTTACAGACCCTCTCTTTTCCATCTCTGCATTCTCACTGCATAAACAGTACATACAATAAACAGATTCCTGCAAGAGAAACTTTCTCTTTCAAGATTTACATGCCCACTTTTTGATTGTGTAGAAATATTTTGCAGTCTTCTGGATAGTCAGGGCTCTCATTACCAAACGATTAATGAAAGAGTAAAAGAAAGTCGCACACGTGCTTTAAGTATGTGTGTCACTCAGTTTCACTTTTATGTATTTTTATTCTTTGTTCTATATTACATAAACACCAG